AAGAATGAAAAAGTAATTTTTTTGGTAATAGTTTTTCATGAATAATTAACGTAATACAATCTAGTAAATTTTTAATTTTGCAATACTCTGAAATTATAATAGACAGGAGACACCTGCGTTCTTCATGGCTGTCCAAGAAAATTTTCTATAATCCTAAATGAATTTCAATCGTTTTATCCCGTGAATCAGACCCTTTCAAAATCTTTTCGAACTGAACTTGTTCACAGCTCGCGATTATTCTATTCCGCGGCATTTCTATGTTCTGCGAAATCTCGAAAGCTGCATTCAAAAAGGGACGGGAAAACAAATTGTATGGAAAGATGAAACAGTCTTAATGGACTCTTAGAAAGGTAGCGGAATTACGCGGAAGAAGGAAAGGTGAGTTAAAACGCTGCTGAAACGTTGGACGATGGTGTTGGTGAACACGCCTTGAAATTTGCCCATGGAACTCTCCTCTCTCTCTCTTTCTCTAATATTCAGACTGTTGTGTAAAATATTATTCAAAACAATGGTGTAAAGGACGACGAAGCGTGCGAAGGGTAACAATGAATCGGGCGAAAGGAATAAGGGTGAGACATAGGTAGCGTGAATATATCCCCGCGGCCAACATTCCTACCCCTGTTACGGTTCTCGCTACGCTAGGCAAGCCGGAGTTGTCTATCTCGTCGCTAACTTCATTTAAGTTTTGATCCTTTTACAGGGTACTCCATGCTAACTTTCCATATCGAGCATTGAAGGAGATACTTTAAAATTTCGAACAGAGAGACTATTGAACCTAAGAGGAGGCGTGGTCTCTCTCACCAATGCGGTGTTTTCTGGACAGAGATTGTTAAAGAAAAAAAAAGGAATTAAAGAGATAAAGAAAGAAGAGATGAAGAAAGAAAGAAAAAGAGATATATAGTCGGATGGAAAGGAGCAGAGGATTATACAATAAAGAGGTTGAAGAAGTGAATGTGGCAGCATTCTGTTCACGACCTACAAACAGGGGAGAAACATGATTTTTATTACATTGAATCACTGAAAACGAGGGTTCACCGGATTATACATTGTGCTAAAATGCAGATACAAATTCTCCATTGAGAACCATGACCTCATTCTTCTCTTTCATTCTTCCGCATCCGTCCGTCGCTTGTTTCCCTCTCTCGACTTTCCCACGTTAGCAGTTATTCTTTTGCCGTTCTTCTCTTTTCTTTTTCTTTCTTCATCATTTGATCTCTTTCTTCGTTTTCTTTCGTTCTCTTTGTCATCTGCTGGTCCAATGCTTATTTGTACTTTACTATTAACTTTGTTGTAAGCTTTCGGTATGCTCCGTCATTCCTTGTCGTTAAATCCTTTGCAAAACAGTAACTACAATCCTTTTATCTTGTTGGACAGTCGCGGTATTTCTTCCTCGTCATTGTTCGGGTTACATCATCCGGAATACTGAATGTCACATTTTATCTGCGGCGAGACTACGCGCCAAAGTATAGCTAATGGTATTAAAACTCTCTCACTAGTACTTGCACATGATTAGCAAGCATTTTGCTATTGTTTTAAAAACACAAAGATATTGTATCCATAAAGATAATAATTCCGAAATCACATATTTAGCACAATCATCGAATTTTAGATTTAATCACATAGTCATAATTGTTTGTATCTATTTATATATTAAATTATATATTGTATCTATTTATATATTAAAATCAGAATACTTTAATATCGTTTTTGATCGTTTTTAAATTTAATTTTCTAGAATTGGGGAGATAAAAAAATTTTATGACAATTTTTCGTCGAATTTCATTTTGTTATACGAAATACAGCTTTAGCTTCAAAGATGTGAAATTCAGAAAAATCATAAAAAAATTTTTAAAAAAGTATTTTGTAGATAAATCTTTGTACATACTTTCTTTTTAAAAAACTATTAAATTTTTTAAGAAAAATTTTTTATCAGGCTACAGACTGTTGAATATATGTAATTTTAAAGAATATAACAACGTGATTTTTGTTTGAATAAAAAAATAAATTTAAAAAAACGGTCAAAAAAGTATGTTAAAATCTCAAGCTTTAAAGTTTCATTTTATCTGCAATGATTTTTCTTTATTTTTATAATGAGAAACAAATTTGATACCTGTTTGTAAATTGTAACATTAATATCAAAGTTATTATGTATTGCTAAATTTTTTTACAATACAAATTATTATGTGTATTTATATTACCATGTGATTAGAATATTCTGCACAATATATCAATCTTGCTTTGATTACAATACACTTGAAACATTCTCTGAGGATTCTGCTACAGAGTGACGGAAGCCTAAGATGGGACAGTGTATCTTCTACGTTATGTCGAACAGGCTTTAGAACTTCGCTGTAGTTGCACGGAGTTGCGGGGTACGCGTTATCGGATATATCACATATCGAGGACTCGAACGTTACTGATATCGATTAAGCCATTGTTCTAAAGATCTTGGGAAGCTTCTAGAACGTGCTCAAGGCATTCGAAATAGAAAATTGAAGAAGAACAGAGAAGGAAAGAGAAACGAGACGAATTTTCATCCATAAAAGAAGGAAATCTCTTATCGTTTTTCGTGTCCATGTATACACACAACTCATAGATGTGCATGTATACGCCTTCGGGGATCCTTTTGTGCTCGTGCCACATTATAGGGACTGGTGCATTAGACAGAGTAATACGGCTGGAGGAATTTCAATTGCAGCACGGCCACGTCGTTCGGTTTAACGATTTCGTCGGACTTCAGAGAATACGGGGTGCTGCACAGAGAAGAGGAGTGAGCTTATGTATAGACTGCTCCGTTGACATGTTTAAAGACCGTCATACATCTCACGGTTGGAGAGAATTGTACGTTGCCTTGGGCCACGTGTAAATGTATCAATATTCATCCCGTCAATTTGACTACTGTAAAATACATGTATGTAGAGTTATGGAGAAGATTATTATGGAGAATTATAATGTTGTGAGTCAAGCACATGATTGTTGTCACCATATATAAACTTACAATAATATACCGTCTGTATTGTATATGTTTTCTTATATTGTTATTTCTGTGGATCCATTTAAATATGTTAGAATTAGTTAGAGAATCCATCAAAATTATATTAAAAGAAAGAACTTTAAAAAGAAAAAAATTATATATAAAAATTATAT